ATTACTGAAAAACAAGCAATCTATATAATCAACTCAGTAATCCTAACACGCTTTGAATATAGATCACAAAACTATATTCTTAATGAGAATAGATGCAATAAAATAACTGACCGATACATGACAATTGTCAAACAAAAAGCAGGCTTATCACGTAGAATTCCTAATGCCACAATATATAACCACAAGCTATACGCCTTAAGAAAAATATGGAACATCATCATACAACATCATATATCCATACCTACCAAACAATTAAATAGTAAAAACAACACAAACCAATCACTCAGGATCAGAATTCAACAGATACAGGACGCCGTCATATCAAATGAATCAATTCTAACTTCGAAAACTACAGTCATTCCAATACCAGAAGATAATACAACAACCGCAAAGCAAATTATGCTTCTGCACAAAGCAGATTTTGGCCTATCAAATTTGCTAGCACAATGGCCAATTACACAGCAACGAAAAGGCACAAGTATCAACTCAATACTAAACGATCCACTAAATATAGAGATATACAAACAAAAAACCAAACTAAAAGAAAAGTTAAATAAGTACAAACTATACTACGTAGAGCAGTTCACAGATGTGAATAACACAACAGTAATAGAATAGAACCAAATAGCACATACAACACAAAAAATCCCAAAGGGCAAGCAACCAAAATAGTACAAAACAATATCAGAGATAATATTAGCAGCCATTACAAATAAAGAAGGAACCAAACTCATCCAACCTAACCCTTTCTACTCCATTGAAACCCAGGGGATGAAAAAAGATTGGGTGATATATAGAACTCAAGACATGCAAATAATTGGGAAAATCATTGCTTGTAAACCAAACAAACAAATAACTACAACATACTGGAAAACACTAAAGGGAAATAAAAGGAATCAACCTCAAAAACTTCAACAGTGCAAAGGATGCAAGCTATCTACAGTAACCTACTATGGGAAATGTGCAATCGAAGCTAAACTAACTCAATACAAACTAGTAACAGTAAGCAGCACCAAGAAAATATATGGCTATCTCATATCTATTACCCAAACAAGCAATATCTCAGAGCAACAAAGTCTAAGAGACACCAGCAGTACAGATAACAGACTTACGAATAAAAAAAGCTATCTTTCTCACAACATAATTTACAACACATTCACTAACATAGAAGCACAACAGCATCTGACAACAATAGCGGATGCTATCCAAAACTGCAAAAACTTA